ATGTTTTCAATAATATTTTATTTTGCTAAAAACTGATAAATTATTGCTGAACAATTTGAAAAGATTTCTAGTATAATTCGTTTTTTTTTAACTATAGATTTAACTTTTAATCGCATATGCTTTTCAGAAGAAAGCCGTAATACGAAAATGTTGAAGTAACACAAATTCTAATAAACAAACTGTTGACGAATTCATGCAGACGATTTTGTTTACATTTCTTATTGTAATTCGAAGCAAAATAATGTCATAGATACACATATTTTAATTATTACAGATAATTTCATTGCAATATAGGATGTGCTCAAAGAGATTTTTGATACGAAATTTCTCTCTAATGAGAAAATGTTTGAGTTTAATGAGTTCGAGCTTTTTTAGCTTAATTTTCATCTTTACAAAAGGCATATTTTCTGAAAAAAGCCTAGGAAAATGTTTGAGTTTAATGAGTTCGAGCTTTTTGAGCTTAATTTTCATCTTTACAAAAGGCATATTTTCTGAAAAAAGCCTAGGTAAATGCTTACTTCGGAGATAATTATATTTCAGTTTAAAGTAGGTAAAACATTAGAAAGGGTTTTTGTAAATAAAATATGTCTAGTCACTTTTATGAGACATTGCACGCTTTATTAAAATATAAGTTTTTGTATATACGAATAATCATTTTATGCATGAAAAATATAAAATATCTGGAAACTAACAACAGAAAACACTGATGAATTTATCTTCAATATTTGCTAAATACTTAAAATATGTATAAACCTCTGCTGGCATTATACTGATTGAATGAAACTTCGTCCCCATTTTTTTTCGTAAACTGAAACGACTTAATCATCCCAAGGTCTACAGTTTGCGTGAACAACAGCTTATTCATGACATACCTCATTGCTTTGGACCTGAAATGGGGAAGAGATTTTGTCCCCATATGTTCCGTTTCTTCAGCTTCTTAATCACCATCAAGCAAAGATTCTTCAACGTTAATATATTTCAATATGATTTCTATTACAGTATCTTTGTCTTTCGGATCTTCGCATGCACAGTGGCTGAGAGGATGAAACCACTGAACACTAATAGTTCGACGCATGCAATAATAATAAATCGATAATAATGTCGAATCCCCTGCATCTCGCCAAATGCAACCTTTAACACCAGAATGGGCTGGTAACGCTGGACAGCTAGACAGGTTTGCCTTTATTTAATTAATCTAGCCAAGTCAACTTAACTGTTGTATGCAACAGCGTTGTTATTGCATGTATGGAAAACGATCCCCGATCAGTAGCGTAGCTACGGTGTGGCAAGGGGGGACATCTGTCTCTGGACGCAGCATCCAGAGGACTGACGTTACGAAATTTTAGAATGAATTGTTTTCCATTCTTGCGCACAGAAAGGTCGCACAATCTTCAATTGTCTCAGCTACTGTTCTGTTCCCGATCACAGTTTCACGTGCATAATTAAAAACCAATGTTTATTGCTTACGCAAGCTTTGACAGAAGACGTGATTTTTATTAAAGGTATTCCTTGTCATTACAAGTGTTACTCAACAGAACAGGCATGATACTTTTTAAACGATGTGAGAATTAAACTGAAATCCAGAAACTTTGAAAGTAGTTTTGGTCTGTGAGAGGATATATTGCCAGAAAATGTATACTTGCTACAATATTAGCAAAGTACCGCCCAGCTGGTATAGTGGTTAGTGACCCTCACTACTGTAGTAATGGGCCCGGGTTTGAATTCCAGAATGGCATGTCCGTCCCTTCATAGAAGGCAACAGTGGCCACCTATTAAGTGCTTCTATAATGAAATAGCCCCCACTTTTGGCCCTTGTAGTGGAGCAAGGCTAATGACTATTAAATAAAGCGCCCGGTCCTTAAAAAATATATTCAGAAAGTTGTTTGGAGTAACAGTAATTGTCGAAAGGGAATTTGAGTAAATTTTATGTAATGTAATCAAATCTCATTTATATAATTTCTATGCTGTGATTATCATTGTTTTCAAATTATGCTAATGCCTGTATAACACTGGTTCTCAAACTCTGGTACATGTACCACTGGTGGTACAGTACAATATTTTTCGTGGTACAATTTTTACAGAAAAAATTAAACAATGTAAAATTGCGCCTCTTTTAACATTTCGTTTTAATCTTTATTAGTATTCATAAATACATATATATTTTCAAGTTTTTGACTTTTACGGCTCTATCTTTAATGTTGAAATGACGACTTTTTCAAGGGCCTCAAACAATTTCCCAACGTTACGATTTCCAAGAATCGGAGCGGCACTCTAGTATACTCGTAGTATACTTTATTTATATTTTATTGTAATTTAAAAGTTTCATTTACGAATGTAATGAAATAATATAAATTTAAAGGGTTTATTCTTTGATTATATACACTCATTTAGGATGCATTAATTTTTAATGGCAAAATGCTTTTATGGGGGTACATATATTTTTGTTTCATTTTTGTGTGGTACAAAATTTGGAAAATTTTTGAGAATCCTTGCTCAATAAGATTATTTAATGAAAGCGCCACAATTATTTTTAACCGCATATGACTAAAAATTTTGTCTTAACTAAATTAAATTTAGTGTATTTTTCGGAAATCGAATAGTAATTTAAGACGGATACATATATATGTATGTAAGATAAAAAAATTATCTTTTTTATCTTCCATATATTTACAATCCACTTTCTACTTTAAGAAGAGGCAAGGTAGTTAAGAAATAAAATCATTATCTCTAACCACTGAAAAATTAGTCTTGTCCTTTCAATCTAGTAGTAAAGTGAGGGACATTTTTCTTTACAACTTTGTGGTTCCCAAACCATATCACATGATTACTAAGAAAATAATATTCAGCGCTACAGAGCTATTAAATTATATCGTGGAATAAAAATTAAAACTACAGAAAATAGCCTCGTTAATAGATGTATTTTAATAATTCCTGGTTTAAAATTAGCCAAAGTGTCAGTTTTATAATCTGCAAAATTATATGTCATTAAAAAGAATGGATTTTCTGAGAAATTTCAATATAACAGAATATACATAATAATACTAAAAACTGTTTTAATTTTTTTAAAGAAATCTCTTTAAATATGGGTTCATCTGAAATATTTAAATGTATAGAGTTTCAGGAAAATTGATTTGGAAATAATAAGTCAAATACTGATTTCAAAATTTTATCCAAGTAACAAAATGAGAAGCTAATTCAAATAAAACAGGGCAAAATTAAAATTTGTTTAATTTTTTCACAATTAGCAGTCATGAGCGAAGCATGTGATTCTTTTTGCACCGACTTTCTCTAAACTGCGCAGCAATTAGCTGCGCAACTTTAAACTTCAGAATAACTCACTGATATTTTGTGCGCAAGTCGCTCTTAAAGCTGCCTGCCTATGAAACGTCAGAATAAATTACAAAAGGTAAAATAAATGTATTATGCAGCGTAAAGTATGTTTTGTTCTTCTTTATGTTACCTTGATAATGTTTTTACTTTGAGCCTTCTTTATCAATCGAAATTTACTGAGTTTAGTATATTAATAGAATATTTAATTACATATAACATTGGGTAATAGCTGCATAGATACAGTTGGGCTCTGAAATCATTGCCCATTAACTATGAAAGCATTATTTTATATTGATAACTTTTGGTCGACCTGGAAACTTTCCTTTTTTATTATCTAACTTTTCAATTATAAGAGGTACTATTATTCTAAACTGTCTCGGAATTATCATTTTCCTGAATCCAAAAATTAAATATAAACATTACTTTATATCCAAAAAGCAAGTGAATTTTCCTGAGGTGCTTCATATTCTTCATTTTCCTGAAGATTGATTTAACATTCGAGAATTTAATAACACCAGCCTACAGCAGCGATTGGCGAAGAGGCGCCTTTTCGATGGGTCACGTGACTCCCGTCGGCACAGGAGCGGGGTCTCAACTTAGTTCCACATTTCAGTTGCGGTGATGAGGTGAAGGTGAAGGATGGAACGGTAATATTGTCTGCGTGGTTTAGTTTTCTCGAACTGCTGAAATACGTTCCAAAAGGGAAGAAAAGGAAAATGCTCATTCCCCTTCGTTCGAGTAGTAGTGCCAACACCTTCCAAAAAGTTTTCCAAAGTTCTTTGTTATTTTTGGATCCCCCAAACACAGTGCGTGCATAATAAGAGTTGATTGTGTTTCGAGTTTCTTTGTTGTTTTCTGGAGCTACTCTGAAATTCGTGTGCCATTTTTAAGAAGATAAAATTTTCATACTTTACAGCATGGAACATCATCATCGTGTCCTCAGTTGAGGTGTAAATAACATATTAACGCCTTTTAATCGTGCTTTACCGACAAGTTTTGCTGTCCAATTCATATATTATCTGCAGTTTAATTCTTAGTTATTCAAAATCGCTCTTATATATAAAGAGATTATCTTGACAAGTTAGAAATATTTCGATGAAATACGCCTTTTCTTTTTCTACATGTATTAAAACATTTGCCATACTTTAGTGGGAGTTATGATAGTTGCAGGCCAAAAATAAAGAATGTTTGTGAGTAAACTTAACTCTACGTAAAATATTAGTTTTATCTCTTTTAAAATAGTAATTAGAACGTTTGCTTTTTAATATTATTATTTTATTTTTAAATTATAATGCAGTCCCTTTAAATCGGTAAATTAATATCAACAACTAAATACTAAATGATAACTAAATTATATAAAATAATTATGATAATTAAAAAAATCATTTCATTTGATTATGCGAAGTCTATAAAATTGCTATACATTCTATAATTTTTATTTAATACATGGTTATGAATTAATGGTCATATTTTCTAATTTTTAATTTATCAAGAAATCTCTATTAATTTTAATACAGTTCTTTAATAGTACTTCTTAATTCTTCTTGTAATTCTAAATAATTCTTCTATTAGATCTAATTCTAATAAATCTTCCATTTATACATAACTTCTTTCTGAACCATATTTTTGATACCGAAACTGGAAAGCTATGAGTAATTTAATCATTATATACAGTAGCTTAGAAAAAATATCTCAAAAATTATTAACACTACAATTAAGTATTTAAGTTATTGAATAATTGTATTATTTTGTTTCATGACTAATCCAAAAATATTTTAAATGCCCCGTTGATAGCTTTTTTCAAAATAAATTAGAATCATAGTTCTTCTAACAGTCATTACAGCAGGAATATATTAGAGAAAGTTGTTATAGAGTAAAGCTAAGATAAAATTTTATCGTTTAAAGCAATTTAATAAAAGTATTTTTTAATTAAAATAAGGGATTTCATAGTAATAGTCCTGCAATATTACAAATAAATTTCCTAAATGTTTTTCCAATATTAAAATATAATATTATCAATTTCTAATTCTTATCATTGTCATTCTCTTTGTAATATCTGATGTAAATACTTACAGTTTTTATTGAATTAACAAGCAAAATTAGCAAGCAGCAGTAATTTTGTATAAGTATTCTTATCGCTTAATATTTATAACATTAATAATAATTTGTTTTAAGGCAGTGATTAAGTTATCATTGTTTACATCAAAAATATGAAGATAGTAACTTACGTAAATTGAAGATTTAGAATTTCTCAAGCTTTAAATTTTCTCGCAAAGGTACTTATGCTTTTATTTTCAGGTTTCTATCTAATTAATGGAAATCAGTAAACATGAATTATGACGTAGTTATCTTACAAGTTCAGATAAATAAAAAACTCCAATTATATGATTTGTAAAGAACACATTTTAAAACCTTTTGAAAAACGTAATTTTAAAGTAAACAGCACGTATATGTTAAAATAAATAACTGTTAGTGTGAAAAATTATTGAACAGGTTTTAGTTCATTAAAAAAGCATTAGTTGTAATTTTTAATACTTATTTGTCATGTCATATATTTTATTATTATGCCATATCTCATTTTACTGATAATTTTTCTATGGCACTTGTTTTAATTCAATAGAAAGGAATTCTTGGGAAAATGTTAGTTTATTTTTTGATTTAGTATGAATAAAATTACGTCTTAATATAGCAGATTCTAACTTATCTTGTCACTCAAGAAGAAAGTAAGATTTGCAATATAATTTTCCTATTCAGTGATACGTAAGAGTACAAAAATATTTTTTCAGAAAATACCCTCGGCAAATATAATTTTATGGAAATAAAGGTTTTAAGATATGACGTAACCAAATGCGCTTTTCTGCATAATTTTCTCGTAACTCCCTGCTACCAGTTTTGAATTTTATACAGCTTTTTACATTACGTACTCGTTTCAAGTTTTATGACATAGCAATTCTAAGAACTCTATACTTAATGTAGACTTATACAGAAAACTTATTTATGAGAATTTTCCTCAACTCGACTATCATTTGCTTTTAGAGTTTTTAAAGAAACCTTTTTCTCTTTCGCATTGAGTTAATTGTCATGGTCACAGTTAAACATTTCTTGATAAAAAAATATTATCGAGTAGCGCTACATACGTACCTAACATACGTATTACTCAGAAAACATTTTCATGGCATTCTTCAGATGTAGTCATTCGTAGTTAACCTAAATTATACTAGGCTAGAGATGATATTTTTACTTTTCTATATATCAGCATAATACATCATGTTATAATATGTTAGTATATAAATGAAAAATAGGATTTCGGAAATTTTTCTGTAATAGAATATATTTATGGAATTCTAGCTAGCAAAATACTTATGCCGTTTTATCATTCCATTAAAGTACTATATTTTCCATGATATATTTTCTAATCTCAAAAAACGTTTAGAAAGAATGTTAGAATCTTTAGATTTGACTACTTTTCAGATTTTCTAAAATGGACAGATTGGTTTAACAAGCTTCTTCGCCAATTTACCATATTGGCTTTTTAAGTACAAATGTCTTAATTGCACGATATTATCTAAATTACCTCTGAAACTACGCTATACGTTAAAAGGCAATTTTATTTAAAAACATTTTGCTACATACCTGATGTATATATTCAATATATTCAGAAGTTAAGCATATTAGAAAGAAATTATTTCCATAAAAAGAATTAAATGTCAATATAAGAAAATTATCTTCAAATTAAGATATGAACTGAAACCTCGATGTAGACAGTGAATCATGAATGATCTCTTAAAAAAATGGACCAAAAAGGTTATTAAAAATTTATTCCCGTTAAAAGGTTTAGTTCGAAATACGATAATTTTTCTTCTATTAACATGAATAACAACTTGATATTGAAACTTTTGTTATTTGTGAGCTTAAACATTCCTAACACAGCATTGGTGCATATATTTGGTGCCCTGGAATATCATATATACAAGAAATATTTTCAACGAAATGCATGATGCTTCAACCTCAAAACTTTGCATTTCACGACATACCTTGTCGAATGCGAAAGCAAATGTCTTATCTAAGTTTTCCATTTGTGGAATGCGACTACTACTTTAAATGTGAATGTTCCAGTTTAACCGTATATACAATGAAATTATGTATTACCATTCAATGGGAAGATATATCATCCATCCCTTGAAGAAGCCATTTACTGCCATCAGAAGCTATGAATCACTCTGGAATATGGCGACTCTGGCATTCTCGATGGCACTGTGATAACAACTCGATGGGGGTTCAACAAGTTGCAACCAATTCCGATGATCAAGACTTTTGCACCCAGGAGGATCATTGGTTGCCAAACAGCAGGCACAGTATGGAACTAAATGATATGGAAAGGGGACCAAGGAGAATATTCAAACATCTCCACAACCGGAAAGGTCCTCCTGGAAGGCTGGATTTACCACGATTGAGCTTACTGGGGAAGCCCATCAACTACAGGCCTCCCAGACACAGAGACCCCAGATATCGGAAAGCCCAACTTGCTGTGCATAATGTACTTGACAGACCCCGAGGTATAATTGCTGTGATTTATCATGCATTAATGTAAGTACGATTTTCGTATTCGTCCTTCTTCATATTAAGTATTCTAAAATTTCTACTTGTGTTTAAATAAATAAATTATTAAAAATATAAAGATAAGATTATGAAATTGTAGTATAAAATTTTAGATAATGATTTTAACTTTAGGTTATGATTGTTCGCCATTGAAATCGATAGAGTTTTAATTAAAACCTACGCCTAACACATGATTGTTTTGGCCAAATTTTCAATATGATTTTAAGTCTGAAAATGTATTTACCTTTAAATTCCACGTTTTTCTAATTCCCATCTTTTTAATATGTTTTCTAACTGAATAATAAATGAATAGTTTCTAATCGAATGAAATAAATAAAAATATCTAGTCAGATTATTTTTGCAGCATGATATACTAAAAAGTTCCATTAATAAATATACAGCTTCTGATGAAATAAAATCGGTATAACATGTTTCACATAAGCTGGTCCGTGAAAATGTAGCCCGCCTTCTGAGATAATGTGGTTAGCACTATCTTTCTGACTTAGTTTGTGCCGGAGTGAACAGAAAGGCAAAATAAAGGTGTAGGACATTGTTTTGACGGGCGAAATCTCTTAGCCGACAGTCAGTCAAAACAAAAAGAATAAGCGACTTCGGTCCTTTCCAAACAGCTTACCCCGCTACTGGAGTCAGCACCTTTTTTCGTGGGCCAACTTGCATTTTTATTGTGAATTCGGTTATTAATTAAAAATTAGTTCACCTGATTTTTAAAAAATCAAGCAATTTATTGATTTTGCCGGTTAGTTTCGTTTACCAAGTTACACATGTCAAACGCTATGACATGTATACTCCAACTATAATGTCAAGAACTTTGACATGTGTAGCTTGTCGCACATGTTTGTGATTTCAGTTATAAATAATTAAAGCGCATTACATCTAGAATCAAAAATACGCTCCCGAATTAATATATGGGTTTTTCGAAGAAACAGATTAGACAAATAGTTCTAAACTGTGATTCAAGGAGAGCTAGTAATCAAGGGTTCATAAGGGATTTTTCAAACTAAAATTTAATTTATTTAATTTCATTTACTTTTGTTTGCTATTTTGACTAAACTGTTCTGAATAAAATTCCAAATTTCGTTTGAAAGATAGCTTCCATTAATTGTCTTGGGTCAAAAACGGACAAATTTTGCGAGTAATTTTAGTTTTTAAGTTATAAAATAGCATTCATATGCAAGTAGCATTTTAGTTTGCTTTATTAATCCAAGAGGCAAACTGAAACCCTACTTGAATAAAGGTGCCGGAGCATAAAGATGCTGGCACTTTATTGAAGTTTGATTTTTGTCAAGTTGAAAATCTCATTTTAGCAGTTTCGTAAAAGACACTTGTGAAAGAGTGTACTGTATTTCCTACTCGAAAGTGTTTTAGATCGCTTTCTCAAAATTCAAATAATTTCTCATATTTAGAAACATTCACTCGCTAGATTCAAATCCTAAGACTGATGACCTAACGGAAAACCTCCTAACTTTATATTGATGCTGTTCCATAATAATTAACAATAATATTGTAAATGATGTTTCTGTTTTATTTCCTTGAACAAAGTAAAGGAAGTATTATAATCTCTAAAAATTTCGGTTATCGTATTTCGACTAAAATATCCATTTTGACTGCTTTCTATTCCATTTGAACGATGTTTTGTTTTACATCTGCACATACGGACAGAATAAAGGACTATTTTTTCCCAAAACGGATTGTGAAATGGATTTAAATGGATTCGGTAGAGATTTTTTTCGTGACGTATATATGTATCTCGAGTAGCCTCAGAACGTTGGAATTTTGTATATAGGACTGCTATAACATGCGGCCACACCAAAAGTATATACAAGTATATATCCACTCTGTTACTCGGCTCCGTGAACTAAGTTTTTTTATTCCTATATGTTAGTTTCAGCCTTCTAATATGTAATAAAACTGTAGTTATTCAATTAATGATTCTTATAACATAATGATTCATGGCGCGTTGTTTAAAGGAAGAAATGTATATTATTTTACTTAACTCTGACTCATAAGACGTACATACGTGAAACGTTGCTATATGCCAGAAGTAAATACTTATCCAAAATTAAATGTAATTATTAACAAAAAGAAATTTTCAGTGTGACTTGTTTACAAATAAAAAAAAGACTTATTCGTTGTAGAGACATTAGGATTTTTTGGAGCAAGCAAGATGAAAAATTAGCAATCGCCTTCGCCGGGAATCGAACCACGGATCTCTGAAGTACCGTCCCAGAGTGCAGAACCACTACACCACGATGGCACGTTAGGAAAGTGAGAAAAATACCTTATAACGTATCAGAAAAATTTAGTTTAGTACTCAAATTGAAAATGATTAAACATTTTCGATCATGTGTTTGTACCAAATTTTATATGGATTCCTTAGCAATAATTTTAGTCTCCAAAAATATCTAAATATAAATGCATATTTACTGTGAACAAATGCATGGAATACTAATATGGAGTTAAGCTATTGTACTTCTTTTTGAAAAATACTCAGCCTTACATAAAAGTGCTCCCATGCTAAAATTCAGCCCCAAATATATGGCAAGTGAGAAAGAATTCTGAAATATTTTTCACATACACAATTTGATAAATTATCTTGAAGGTATTCTAAACCGGTGACGTAGGATAACATGTTCACAGCTACGGTAAATTTCGTTCCAGCGTGTGTGCTTTGGGTTATCTCAAATTTTTCACGAATTGCTATTTCTATATGATCTTTCTTTAACATGCACTAAGGAAATGTTTTTCCTCGAATACTTTTAAAGCATTCTTCATTATAAAAATCATAACTTTTCTAGTATCGCAATGAATAATAAATAATGTCAACCAGTTCAGCAGCAGAATACGTTTCTGCTTGAATATTAAAACATTAAATGCTTCTCTATTAAACTTATTTCAGAGTTGCGAAAATCGTAGGTATTCACGCTTTCATGACGGTGAAGACATTTCACACTAATCAATCAAAACTTTCAGTGGACCCGCGAGGAAGTTTAGGCGAAATTTTCGGGCTGTTTCAAGGATAAGACATAATTTTTTTTAAATATTTTCTTAGGTTAAAGAAAAGTCAGGCGAAATTGTAGAATGTACCATTTCTCTCTGGGAGGGCTAGAGGTAAGTTTAGAGGAAGAAAGAAGGTAAAATGAAAGATATACTTTTGGATGCTAAAATTATTTTAAATATGCAACTCTATTTCGCACAATTAAGAAATAAGGAACAAAATATTCTTTCACAGTTCTTTTTAAATACTTTGAAGTTCTGCTAACACTTTCTTGGTAATCAGCATTCGAAATTGACCTAAAGTAATAGATTCGTTCTCGAAACCTCCATGAGTTATGGATGTTGTGGAAATTTTATATTTAACGTATTATAACATAGATAATTTTTCATTCATTCAGTTTTTATTGTATTGCGATTTAATTTTAAGCACGTTGACTCTGAAAAGTGTAACCACACTATTAATAATTATAAAATTACTGCCTTTAATATACGGTTCATTTTCAAAATTTAAAATGAACTGTAGAAATGAATCATTTTTTATCAGCGCCTGTTCTTAAATTCAGCCTTATCGCCCCAAACATTCTAAAGTTTAGTTCTCTATTACCTAGCTATCATAAATTATATCAAAACACTAGATAGACTGAAAGCGACTTATCGCTAAAAGTTAACCACAGAGTTTTGAGAAAGTTTAACCCTTTGAAAGCCAAAACGCCCAAGACAATCTTTCATTCAAACGACCACAATCGCCCGAAATGGCCGAGATACCGATGTTGTTCCCCCCCCTAAGGTATGCAGTGGCAAAAGCAGTTTTCACAAATACGTTGTATCAGTTTATACTTATTATTTAAGATATATCTGAAACAGCAGTAATACTGTTATTCGCTGAATAAATATATTTAAAATCAATTGCGAAATTTACAGAGAAAATTAGTAAAACTGCAAAATTCGAAAACTTATAATTATCACAATAAAAAGCTATTAGCATATTTATAATTTTGGAAATTAAACTGTTGCCTTCTGAGTCAGTTATTGCTTATAATTAAACGAGAATCCTTATAATACCAAGGTGAATCATAATTATTACTTGAAGTTAAATGTTCAGACAAAATTTGGGATTCCGTCCTTGGGTAAGCTGCATTTCTTTCTGATATAGAGTTTATTCAATTTAATCTCAAAAATAATTTTTTTTAATTTTACTACCAACGTTTGAATATTTCAATTAAATATACTTAAAATTGGTGTAACCTTTCCGTTCAGTTGCCTACAGATACACTAAAGTTCTAAGTCAGTTGCATGTACTATCTGCTATAGGGAAAACATGACAGTTGCGTCCTTAGTTATAATGTTTCTTTAAATCTTTGTTGGTTAATTGACTTACAAGCAATTTATAAAGGCATGCCTATCTACACGGTAGATTTTGTAGTAAGACGATAACCCAAGACAGCCTAGAGGTCACATACAGCATTGGAAAGAAAACAAACGTGAAGGCACGGGAGACAAAAGGATGAGTTCAAGAATCAAAATCATTTACTTATGAATGTTTTCTTTCTTTATTTTTTCTTTCAATACAAGAGGGCCACCAATACCAGGCAGGCCAAGGATAATAGATTCTTTTCCGCAGTAAGGCACTGTAAAATCTAGCTGATATTTCAAGCACCTTTCCTGGAGCTGATACGCGCAGCGTAGGTCGCTTTATCCCTTTTCCCTTTCCAAACATGAAAAAGTCAAAAACCTTCCCTCTTTCTTTGTTTCTCTTTGTAACAGCTATTTCAACCTCGGTTCTTAAAAGTTAAGACCGCCTCTAATATTACCATTGGTTTAAATAAGAAAGGAAATTTATCTTTTATCCAGTGAACTCCTTTGGAAGCACTCTGGAACCAATAAGAACAAAGAGATAAACTACAGAAACTTTTCCGATAAACAGGATTCTGACTCCTCCAATATATAGCTAAACCTTGTTTGCAAGCAAAAGG